TTTTTTTTTTTTTTTTTTTTTTTTTTTTTTTTTTTTTTTTTTTTTAATTTTAAAGAAGCTGCAGTCTCTTCGTGGGGAGCAGCATGTGCTGGGAACCGGGCCCAGCGTCCCATAGAAAAAATCTCTCAGAAATTCTTAAGAACAACTGAGACTCTTGGGACCCTGCCAGCATGGATTGCCCTAGATATCAGGGGATTGACTGCACAGGGCCAGTCTTTTAAGTGGAAATATACAGACGGTTGGCCAGACCATCACGGCCGGCTGGTCCCTGCCTGGTGCGAGGACTTAGCCCTCACGGGGCCCCAACAGACATGCCAATGTTCTCGGCTGTGGGCCCCAGCAAGCATTGTGCCCACCCTAAGTGAAGGCGGGCCTGAATATCCTCAAAAGACCTACTTTCGACATTTTCCATATGTGGGTATTCAGACAGTTGGAGCACGCCAGTTGGTTACAGAGAAATGTGAGCCTCCAGGCTCTTTTCAGCAACAAGGGCTGCGCTGTACAGTTCAGCCCAGGGCTGGATGGTTGCGCCCTGGGCACATGCAGTGTGAGGCCGACACCACGCAGCGGCCATGGACGAATGAGAAAGCAGCATTGTCGTCACACAACCTCCGTGAGCCAATGAGAATGCGGCCAACACTTGGAGCCTCAAAGGCTACCAGTACGTGCCCAACCGAAAAGGGCCCAGGCCCTTAACTGTAGAAGTGGGTCTGGGTGCAGACACTGGGCCCAACTGGAAGCTACTGGAAACTTCCCCAGCAAGGCCCACACAGACACACATAGGAGCTGCACTTTCCATAAAGGAAAGAGGTCATCCCAGGCAGTATTCTGGCCTGTGCAGGCATTGCGGCCACGCTGCTGCATTGTCGTGCAAGCTGCGCTATGCAGGCAGGCTGGGGCGCGCGCGGGCGCTAAGCGGTAAAGAGGGCACTGCGGTGGCAGTGGGCGCACAGCGGCCATAGCCGGACTGAGCATGTGGGTGTGAGCGGTGGCGATGGTGGTCTTTGGGTAGGAGGCGCATGCAGAGGGGAGACGAGGGTGATGAGAGAGAGAGAGAGAGAGAGAGAGAGAGAGAGAGAGAGAGAGAGAGAGAGAGAGAGAGAGAGAGAGAGAGAACATACCTGATGTATGCTGGTGGTCGGCGTTGGTCTTCGACTTCGATGTGATCATGTTACAAGAACATAGACAGGCTAGATAGCCTGAGTAGGATAGGCTGGATACAGTGTAGGTGTGACCAGAGAGTGGTGACATTGACACCTGAATTCACTGTATTGCTCTTATTTGGACGGTATCTTGGTGCATTGCACTCCGTGCTTGGTTCATGACTATATGAGCTTCTTTGTGATTTTGCAACTTGGTTTTCTGTCTATCGCTCTCGCTTGTATTCCTTGCAATTTGGTATCAGAGCTGGTTTGATATCGCCATTACTGGCGCTGGCGACTTTGTTACTTGGTGCGCTGACGAAGCTTCTCCGCAGTGAGGATAGATTGACGCTGGCTTGTTATAGGCAACACCCGGGTAGAGGGGTGTGTCGCCGGAAGGCTGTGGCAACAGCGTGGGAGCTGTGGTGACAGCGGATGTCTGTGGGATGATGAGAGAATGCTGACGTGGCATTTTGGCTGAGGGGGCACTGCATTGCATTGTGGGTGGTACCGAGGCCATGACCGGTCATCGAAATGCACGTCGGCTCAATTGGTGAGAAATCTGTGGTTGGGGGCAGCTATCTTCAGGTGTGTTGTTCCCTTACCTTATCTTCACATCTCAATCTCTTCTTACCGTGAGGAAGTGTTCTCAACTTGAGTGTCCTCTTCTGGTTCAGAGTCGTGAGCGCTCTACCTTGAGATTCGATATTCTTCCTGGTGGCACATCTGGAAGGAGAGGGCGATGCCTCTGAAGAGACCTGGTCGAAGCACGGGTCACGGTCACCATGCCAACCCATTGGAGTAGAGCACGCATGCTTTGCTACTTTGTCCTTTAAGCTCTTGCTGCGCTGTAGAGAGGACGTGGACTGACCAGTCCTGTGCGAGACGTCTACCAGACCATCTATAAATGATTTCTGGCGGGATCTGATATGAACACTGGTTGTGATCGTTGTCCTGCCTGCGACGTTAAGTGATTCCTGAGGACCTTGGGGGCTTTCCTTACACTGCCTCTTGATCAGCCAGATCAGTTGGATGTAAGGCTCGTTGCACGTGAGGATAAGTAACGGGTAGTGCTGGTCATAAGCGGGTTCCTGGGCACAGGGTTGGGCCATTGTGCACACGACAGACACTGCTGCTTGATGATGCAGCTAGGATCGTTGGATACAGCGGAAGGGCTGGTTCCAATTGGTGCTTGTAAAGAAAACACAATTGTTCTCATTTCTGCATACATTTGTACAAGTGATTTATTTTTATTTTTGATTAGTTGTGGTGACTGACTACTAAGTTAAACACCTAACAAACAACATTAGATTAGAACTGAAGTAGTCTACCATAGCCAGTTCTGGTTAACGCTGTTGTAAGAGAACTGATAAAAGTAGAAATAGATTATTTGATCAGTTTGTGTAAAGCGACAGCCGGGTTGGCTTGCCGAATATTTATTATTTTATTTATTTTACGACTCGGTTAGACACATGTTGTGGTAGGCCCCAGCGAGGGCACTAGTGCAGACAGTGATCTGCCTAGCCGATGAGCGGTACAAATCGTGGGGAACGGACAACTGACGATGGGAGACAAACACGAAGGGATACATGTAGACTTCCGGTAGTGTTTCGGTTCTGCTACTAGGGGACGAAAGAAGGTTCCGGGCCGAAGCAAGGGCCCGACATCTGCAGACCGCTAAGGAGGCAGCAGCAGCTGCAGATTGTGCTTTAGCGGAAGCTGCAGCTAGTGCTGAAGCTATGGCTGCTCCAGCAGCGACCTCTCAAAGTTAGCAGACCTCAAGGACTTTCTTGATGTCCTCAGTCTCATCTAGTGGGACTAGTGCAGGACCCTCCACAAGTCAGATGGTGGCCTCGTAGTACAACCAACCACCTCCACCTACCAAGGAGTTGGAACTTCTGTTAGGTAGATCTACGCCGCTTACAGTTACAGAAGAAACTTAGAGATGCTACTAAAAGACAAGATCAGATTAGAAATCGTAAAGTCAGATTGGAGAGTAGAGAGGCAGACAAGGCTGCATTAGAAGGGATAGACGATTCGACCTTGGATGATCAAGGAAAGATCTTCCTGGCGAACCTGTTGAATATGAACGAGTATCTTGACAGTCGACTGGATGAAATCCAATCAACCCTTGACCAGATACTGAGGGTCGTGCAGGGAAGGGGAGGACCACTACCCTTCATACCTAGTGCGCCAAGTGTCCGGCTGCAAGCAGCCTTTCCATCGCCAGTTTCTTTGTCGACGATGACAGACCCCTTTGTTCCACAGTTTGGTGTCCTACCAGGTGGTACGTCAGCAGCAGCAGCACAGACTGTTGCTTCTTTATCTTCAAGTCCATCTGCTGCAGCTTCAGGGCAGCAGACTGTTCGGTCACTGACTGGACCACAACAACCTTTGTACCCCAAGACCTCAATGAAAACTCCAACTGTCTTCACAAGAGACAAGAAGGACGAGGCCCTCGACACTTGGTCGAGGATGGTTCCATTGTGGGTAAGGGCCAAAAATACACTGCGAGAGGAGGAGATGAACACTGCCGCTTCTTACTTAGAAGGATCGATAACAAGACAACTGAACAGGTACATAGTGACAAAGGGCTTAGTCAGACGAATGAACGACTTGGCGCAGACCCAGACACTTGAAAGCTTCATGGACCTTGTGGAGGTGCGATGGCACAACCGTCAACAGGCTCAACAAGCCAATGATGCGTTGACCTGTCTATATACTAGGAAGTTCAAAACGGCGCGAGAACTCACAAGCGTCGTGGAGAAACTTGTAGTAGTACCGGGAGTTCGTTCTGATCCCCAAGCCCTCCTAACCATGTTCTTGAGATGTTTTTCCACAGACATCAAGAACTTGTTGGTTAGTGAGGCCAGCATTGAGTATCGCACCCTTGGGTCTTTCAGCAACAAGGCTTTAGACTTAGAGGCAAGGCTGGGAGAGGCTCAACAGGTAGTTGGGGATGGAAGAAAGAAGAAGATTCCACAAGAGTGGAAGAAGAAGGGACGTCGTTTGATGATGGTTGATTCTGATGGGATTCAAGCCGAGATCGATGACCTTTCTTGAGATAGGCAGCGAGGAGAGTGCAAAGGGTAGCAACCTCAACGCCATAACAAAAGGAAAGGCAGTTGGCCACGGGAAGGGCGGTAAACAAAAGAGTCAGGGGAAGGCTCAAAACTCAAACAAGACTCTGACTTGTGTGAGGGCTGCCCTGGATCAAGATGTGTGGAGGGACCAATATTCACGAGGGGTTTGCATTAAGTGCGGTGAGTATGGCCATCAACAAGTGTAAGAATGCGAAGGTTGCTCAAAAGATTGCGCCCAAAGGTGGTTTGGGGGGATCTTTCGCCCAAAGTGGTGTTTCTACCAACACCAACTCAAGAAACACATCAGGCCAGTAGAAGTTACAGTTGCTTCTACTCAAGATAGCTTCTACTCAAGACGAAGTGGTTAATATACCTTGACCACTTGAAGAGTTGGCCGAAGCTATTGACTCTTTAG